ACTGCACTTACTGTATGAAATACGGCCGAGTGAAGATATCGAGCAGGGGGAACCGTCACGTTGACACGATTCACTTCCATAAGTGACCAAGTATTGGAGGTTAAATTGTAACTATAAAGATCGTCCAACAGTCCGTAGGTGAAGGAATAACCAGCGTAAACCAACAAAACTCCTGGTCCGTGCACCATGGTGTGCCCCATACGAGCCAAGCGATTGGTACTTTTGTTAGGGTGTGGTCCACCACTGAGAACCTCCCACACCCCGTCACCAGGAGTGATGACTTGACTGCAGTCGGGGCCAGCGAAACCACTGGAGCAAATACAGCTTCCTAAAGTCTGTTGATTTAAGTATGGTTACAACCATTTAGACTTTTCAGTCATGTCAATTAACCGCACATGAAAAAGAATTAGCGCTCCGACGCGAGCGCTTCCTTGTTCGCGGGAAAGTATGAGGCCCTGAGCAAATGCGAGTCGGCGAGAGATCTGCAAGGGGTCTGGCACTATTAGTACAAGATCCCCGGTGAACCTCTTCCCGACTTGTCTCAAATCTTCCCGCGGACGGAGAAACGCGCGTCCTGCGGCGCTCATAATGAGGACCTCCTCGCAAACTAAAAAAAAAAGAGCAATAACAAGAACAAATGTCGGTAGTGGTAAGAAGGCTAACAAAAAATCTTTTCCTTTCTGAATGAGGAACTTTTCGGTACAGACACTGAGGAAATATTTTATCCAAACTAGCAAATAGTGTTACATGCAAATCCGTTCTCTCTTCAGAGAAATTAAAAAAAAAAAGCGAAAATGATCCATTTTATTTCAGTAATAGCACATCCACTGTTTGCAGGCTGTTATGAAATTTGGATTATTGGTTTTTGCAAGGGAAGGATAACCAAAGAATCTGGGACGTTGGAAGGCACGAAACCCTCGCTACTCCCCACATCAGATTAGCTGAAAAACAAAGCACAGAATATCGCGTTATTGCTTTAACCTTCGGCGGGTTTTAATTATTGCAGGTTGTTATTTCCCTCAATAATGCATACTGCACCTACCTGATTACAGTGTCCTTGGCCAAACGACAAGCTGCAGTTGTTTGGACACAACTGTTGGTTACAAGCGTCCCCTGTCCACCCGTCTAAGCAAACACATTGCTCACCATGTGAGGTCATCACACATTTCATATTTCCATCACAGAGATCTGGGCATTTTCTGACTTTGAACTTCGCACTGAAGCCCTTTGAAAGTGCACCGGAACTCAAATCAACCTTGACGAGTACAACCATGTTCCCCAACTCAGCCGTGGCAGATCTTAACTTGTTTCCACTCCAATCGCAGAACGACCCCAGCTTGTAAAATGACTGGACGGACGACGAATTATCCAGTACAAAAGGAGGAAGACCATCGTACACTTCGACATGATCAGTGAGACAATTGATGCGAAGATCCCTGAATGTGAGGATAATATGCCCTCTCTTTTCCACAGGTGGAGGAGACGGACCATACACGACAATATGGCTGCTGTTACTCAGTGAAGAGATCAGCCATAAACAGCTGGCTTCCTTCTTGTTCTGCACTCCTCTGCCCATTTCAGTTGAAATGAAACCTTCCGAGATGTCAGTGAGGATACTGCGAGGTTTACATTCATGGAAACACAATCCACCATTCCTGGAATTAATGGTTGAAGTAAGAGTAATTCTATCTGCTACTGAGAGTGGCGTGCACTTGGTTCTCCTTCACCAAGAGAAGTATGCTCCAGAGATTATAAAATCTTTTTTCCCACCATAAAAAAGTACATATTTAACTTTGGATATCGGCTGCACTTTGAGTTTCAAAGAAGGAAAATAACTTTTTTTCTTATAATGAGATGACGATTTCGACCGCGGACGCGCGCCGCCATTTTGATTATTGCTCAGCAACCTGGCCTATTAGCTCTAACGTAACAAAGCTTTATCATTTTTTCTTCCGTCTCTTAGCGTTCTGTTTGAACAATAAGGAGCCACATAAAAAGGCATTCGTGACTCAAATAATGACTTCTTGGAGGTGATCAAACCAGAAACTGTTTGCCGCGCGTTGTGTGTTTGAATGTGTAGTCAGGTTAGTGAGTTTCTTTCAGTAAATTTAAATTTATTCTTAGGGCTCTTAAAACGCAGGTAGACAAAATTTCATGCAAACGTTTGGACAGTGGAGATAACAACTATGCGGTTTCTGGAGCTTTCAAGGGTCAGACAAACCATAACCTACGTTGGATTTCCCATGAGTCCCGGCATACACTTGTCACAATGGAACCCCATAGTGAAATCAGTACAATAGCACTGTCCAGTTGTCATGTTACAAAAATGCTTGTCTGGATCACCATGACCGTTACACTGACATGGTTTACAACCTTCAGAAGTTGTTGCGTTACCAAATGACCCGGGAACGCAGAGCTCGCAATGTGCACCGTACGTATAATCTGTGATATAAACACAAAAAAAAAATGAATTGTTAACAATTACAAATAAGCTGTTCTTTGAGAATTTTTTCCGAGTTTGGAATGGTTTCGGCCAATTTCGCTGGATTTAAACCTATTGTCACAAGATCGTCCGAGCGAGTTCGCCGCCGTCTAACACTCTAACCGCTCTTAGTAAAGCAAAAATATGTTGTTGAACCAGTTAAGCAAGATGGGGTGGCGCTTAAGAGCGAGGTAAAGTTCTTTTATCACGACCCCTTTTACTATTCTCACAGGGAAAAAAGGCACTCCACATATGACTTCGCCAATAACACGTCAACCGGGACAGTGGAAAAGAAATTATACAATAACAGATGTCCACTGTAATAGACACATATAAAACAGGTGAGCCGTAGAAAAGCTGACAGCTGAAAGAAGACAAAATCGAAAAATACACGTCACAGCTGATTTTAACGCACCCGATTGACAATCACAGAAGAACAAGATACTATACGAGTATGCAGACCAAACGTCACAATCCCTTCCAGAATAACCATAACCATTTATTCGGAACTTATCCCAACTAATTTTACCTTGACAGTTGTCGCAAATACCAATGCCTTGGGAACAGTCACTGTGTCCATTACAACCACAATCTACTGAACAGTTTTCGCCCAGCCAGCCTAGATTACAATCACACGTGAAGTCTGCACTGCAAACACCATGATTCCCGCAGTCATGATAGCAACTGAACGAAAAACAAATTACAATTAAACTTGCTACATCACTTTCAGCGATCCAAATAAATGAATGAATAAATAAATAAATAAATAAACGATGAAATAAGGATTTTAGCACCAGAACTTCAGCGGGGTGGTTCTTCTTTCGCTGTTTTGAGTTTCAAATTTGAATTTACAATGTTGGTATTTGTGGAGATAGGAAAACCAGTGACCATAGAGAAAAACTCACAGGACAAAGACGAGAACTAACAAACTCAACCCACATGTGACGTCAGGTTTGGAAATCAAACTCAGACCCCTGCGGTGAGAGGCGACTGCTCTTACCAACCACGAACTAATCTCTTGCTGCGATAAGTGTTAATATATTAACTAGATAAAAGAAATTATGTGGATTCAACTCCCACGAGATAAAGTGGATAAAAATCTCTCAAATCATCGTAACTTTTTCCACAATCAATTCAATACACTTGGACCCATTGATTAAGAAGTAGCTATTCGCTCGCTTGAAAAACGCTAACACGTCTGTTCAGGTGGCTATTTCTCTAGCTGAGAGGCGAATTTTGACGCTGACGTTTCGGACGTTAAATCTGAGTCTAAGCAAATAGAAAAGGTTATATCTAATGGTTCTACTTGCTAGTCGACGGAGAGCAACAGTTTCTTTAAATTTTGTTACCTCGTTCAGACTTACGTTTTATTGCAAACATTTACACCATCCCCTGTGAAACCTCTGTTACAGACACATTTAAATGAGCCGGGCTGGTTCACACACGAGGCATTAGGATGACACTGAGCCAAGCCCAGCTTACACTCGTCTACATCTGGACACTCTGAGTAAGACCACACAGTACTACAAAATAACCAAATGAGAAACTCACAAATTAGCGCGTGAATGATAAATAACGAGTTGATTCTAACAGCTAAATTACCACAGTATGAGAGCAATTTTCCATTGAGCGTCGCAAGTAAGCAGGAATTGCTTTTAATTAGTGTTACTTTACTCTGCTTTCCGAGTTGGTCCAGAAAACTCGCGCCATCCTTTCAACCAACAGGAAGCAAAACTAAAAACAATCGCGACTTAGTCATCCGCGTTTTCCCGCCCTCCAAGTGGTTGCCTATGTCCTTTTTGAGTTCTCACTGGCTAGTAATGATGTCAATCTGTCTCTCTTAATCTCTGATTGGTCGCTCTGATAACTTTGGTTTAGGTTTTTCGACACTCAATTGAATTTATAAAAAGCTCTAATGAAATTTAGGTTTCAAAACGTCTTTAGTTTGTATCTCACTGCCTGCAACTAAGTTTAGAAGCCACACAGTGGAGGAGAGGCAAAATGCACGAGGTAAGAAATTATTCAGGGCTGGGTTGCTCAAAGCTGGGTTAAGATAACCCAGGGTTAGTGTGAAATCTGATTTTAGATCTGAAAGGTTTCATAGAAAATTCAGTATAATTCTTTTTTGTCAACAATTTGATGATTGGATGCTCCATATAGAATGGAGAAAATGATCCCAAAAAGGCTTTCGAACAAAGGTGGGCCCTGATCTGCAACAAAACTTTGCAGAAAAACCCAATTTCACGAGTCATACTGTACGCGCACGACTGTGCGCACAAAGGACATGTGGACCATGATGGATCATGATCAACAGGAATTTTAAAGAACAAGCGCACATTAACTTGCGACAAATTTTGAAATTCTCGGTAATGAATATTAGCAAACAAGTCAAATCATACTCATATTCAAGATGATAGGGAATTGAGAGGGAAGGGAAAAATCCAAATGTTCAAAAGGGTAAGTGTTATGTGTGTAATGGAGTGAAAGGAAACAAAATCGGTAATTAATTAAGACATAATAGTATTTTCAGTGGCAGAAATTGTAAACAAACACACCTTCCGTTCGTTGGAAATAAACTTGAACATTGTCCATTGTCAGGTGACTTAAACCCTCCAGCATAACATCTAACCGAAAAAAAGGGGGTAAAAACCACAAAATACATCATTTTAAAATAATAACGATACAAATATGAGAACTGTTTCAATAATGGTTCGCTTGATGTATTTCAGCATATGTCTTACGAATAGACAAATAATCAAAAGATAATGCGACAGAGCAGTTTTCGAATGAACATCGAACCAATACTGAAAAATTCCCAGCGACCAATGCGAGCTAAAGTTTACTGTTACATGCGGGAAAGCGCGGGAAAACGCGGGTGGCTTAGTCGCGCTTGTTTTTAATTTTGCATCTTATTGGTTAAGAAGGCGGCGCGAGATTTCTGAACCAATCAAGAGCAATGTTCATTAAAACCAAAGCAATCTCTTCCGACACTCATTGAAAATTGCTCTGTCGCATTATCTTTTGATTACTTGTCTATCGGTAAGAAGTATGCTGAAGGAATGTTCATTCATACCAAAGTTCTTACATATACCTTCCAATACGTGGATCAAAGTCATTTCCACACCAGCCACATCTTATGTCCTTCAAGCAGTCATTACACGCCGTGTGCTGACTACAATTAGAGCACTTTCCTCCACTGGAAACAAAAAAAGACTTTTGTTTGAAGAGAAACAGGAAGTAGATATATGAAGATAAGTACAATTTAAAAACTACAGTTGAGAAACAATATGCGGTCATCTAAGTAATTTTAGTTTGAGAAAAGACACCCAGGTCTAATGGGGGAGGGAAGGGGAGGGTCCCAACCCAGAATCCCCCCCCCCTCCCCGAATCCCAAATCACTAATAAATGTTGTAGGGCAACACATCCCCCAACAAGATCATTTGATTAATTTAGCACCCTTTTCTTCATGGCAGAGTTCGCTAAATTTTATAAGACGGCTACTTTATCCCTTTACACCCTAACACAGGTAAGCATATTCTCCATACTATTCACCATACATTTCCTAGGGTACTGACGAGGAGAATTTGTTTAACAATCAAGAGCTTCTTTAGTTGGTGATCATTTCCTTAATTCTCGTGATCGTAATGTTGGATTCTGGGGCAGTATTGTTAGGAGAAATTAGATGCTGATCACTCTTAGGGGTCGAAGGGTTAGGCTTTGAAATTGATCGAAATACAATTTCTCTTCACTGACCTATCAATCCAGTGAGGGCACTGTCCATATGGATATCGTGATGTGTATGTTCCAAACATAAAGCAACTCTGGGTTTTGTCACACCAGGTGCATCCTACATTGTCACTTACACAACTGCTACAAGTTTTGCGACTGTAAGAGAGCAAAAAAAAAAAACACACATGTAAATTAACCTTCAGCACAAACTCACATAACGATAACCCTTGACTTAAAGCTTGCCTAGCAGAGCAGAACAGAGCAGATTGAAATTGGAAAAAAGAAGAAATATTTTTTTCATGCTAAAAAAAATTTAGTGAAATGAAAACTTTTCAAAGTTAAATAGCAGGAGCTCAGCGGACATTCTTGGTCAGCGGTCATTTCCGCAAGTGCAAGCTTACTTGCAAGATAATCTTAATATCATTTGACCACTTTTGGATTCGATCTTGGTTTTCAGAGAACTATCTTTAACTGTTGATCTTCGATCCTGCATAACATTTAGTGATCGTGTCAATAGATTACGAGCAGCCACTTCTTTTTGGCGAAAACTGTCACGAGCGAAATACAGTACGCCTCAACCCCAGGGTTCCGCGCCGCATGATGGCATCATTTTTTTCCCACTGATTTTTTTTTACTTGTGATTGCTCACAGTCTATAGAGTCTAACATTCTCCCACCCCACGCACCCTCTTCATGTTTCCTTCCACTAATCTAATCAGCGTTAACTGTCTCCTTGGCTCAAATCCCTCCCTAGCAACCCTCTATACCCTTACATCAGTATTCATATTCTCCAATACTTTTCTCTATACGTTTCCTAAGGTGCGAACAAGGAGAATTCAGTTAACAACCGAGAGGTTCTTTAGTTGGTGATCATGTCGTTTATTCTTGCGACCTTAATGCGTAATTAGTCTTAAATACCTTGGACAAGGGCTATTACACTCCTGAATAGTTTTTCCTGGTAAACTAGATATTCCTTTGCGATAACAACCAAGCGTATTTGATATTTTAGCCCACTTACAGCCACCATCCTAAAAAAAAAAATTCACCTATCAATTTCAACCTTTTCAAATGAACCCACATTATATAACTCCTTTATATCTTTAACCCTTTAACTCCCAGAAGTGATGAACATAAAACTTCTCCCTACGAAATCCATACATTCTTCCGCAAACAGGTAATGAGAATATTCAAACTTATCGGGTAGAAGCTGCTCTCTTGATCTAGCACCAAGTTCTCGTAACTAATTTACAAGAAAAAGTGTAGCAGCCAGAGGGGAGAATTAACAATCAGATCTTGGGAGTTAAAGGGTTAACAACAGTATGCATATTCTTCATATTGTAAGGAGAAAGTAGATGCCAGTCACTTTTAGGGGTTAAAGGGTGAATAGAAATCCCCCTTCTGATGCACCATATGTTGCATTGGTTTGTTACTAAAGGAGAAGTATTTAAACGTTTGACAGATCAGTGTTGTGAGATTTGAGAAAAAACACTTTCCTATTACAGTGCCTAGTAAAATTTGATGACTTTGTTGCAATTCGGTTGAGTTTAATTGTTTGTCTCAAAGGGTAGTCATTTCCAAATTAAACTGCCATATTTCAACTGCATACTGATATGAAGTCGACTGGAAATGTGTCACATTGTAAATCATTTTGTTTCCCTGTGATTGGCAGATTTTTACAAAAAATTTCCTTCCTACTGTTTTCTGGCTTACATTGTGGCTGATACCTCGTAAAATATCATCGAGCATATTAAAATCGAATTTCCAAAAACCAAATCAAAGTAATCAAAGCAGACAATCGGAACAAAGAGAAATATTTAAGGTTTGCGCAAGCAGTTTCAAACATGAGAAAATGTCCATCATAAAGTTCCCTTTTTTCCACTGCACTACAGATGCACATAACAACATTTGTTTTTTGTATACCAACCTGCACACAAGATTGGCAGTCCACGTGGTCAGAACACAAGGTGCACTCGGTCACATTTAAGGTGATATTTCTTAGATTTCCAACACCGTCCTGACATGAACCAGGGGGAGCATTGCGTGACAAGCAAGCTGTCACACACCATCCACATGATGCATCTGTCATGCAGGCCAAACAAGTCTTATGCGCAGAACAATCACCATTTGAACTGGCGTATGGCTGGAGGAACTGAGAAGTTATAGGCTGCGGAAGAGTAAAAAGGATCTTATTTCAACTCGTACACCATCTTTGGCTTAGACATTGAGAATTACGCCGAGAGTTAAGGCGATGTGTGGCTGATATGGGGTTGTTTGGAGCCAAAATTTGATCTCAGGAAAATGCTTGGGAAGAAAAGGCCGTGCTAGCTTAAGTACAGATATTACATGGAAAACATCTCCTTTAGAAGATAACATTGGTAAGACACACCATTTCTTTTTCGTTTTTGCCCAAATGCTCTACCACTGAGCTGAAGAGGAATAAATCTCCAGCCTGGCGTAAACCAGGTTCAAACATAACAAATATCCTGCATATTGTTAGGATCCTCAATGAAAAAAGTCTCTTGTTTGAAAGTTTGACCCACACTTGACCTGGACAATGGATTCATTGAGTTGAGTACGGAAAGAACTTTTGACTGGTCTTAGTTAGCTCACATTGTAGGGCGCCGGAATACCGTGAAGGAGTTCGAAGGTTCAATCCCGAGACTGAACTAACACTCAGGGTCTTAAAATAACTGAGGAGAAAGTGCAACTTTATCTTGGACATCTGCTAATAGTTACACATTCTAGTCTCCTCAGGTAAAACAATAGACCATAGGCCCAGTATCCTGAATTTTCTCTGTACTGGTTAGCTGAGGATGTTAAAGAGCCCACACACTTCTCACGAAGAGCAGCGAGGGAATGTAGTTCCTGGTGTTGTGGTCTTGCCTGGTTATTGTTTACATAGGCCCCCATTAAAAGCTGAACTGAGCTGAACTAGACACCACAAGTAAATAGATAAAGAAAGAAAGAAAGAACTCACCACCATTGAGAGCAGAGAATCTGTTTTGTTCCACTCCAGACGAACATCAGGATCAACAGATGCATCTAAACTCTGGTTAACTTCAACTCTTAAATAATACTTCTTCCCTTCAGATGGAGATGGGAACAAGGGCTGATTGTTACTGCGCTGAGCTACAACTGTACATGGCAGAGACCCTGACTCTGTACAATAAGCTACCAACTCCTAGTGAAAAAAGAGTTTACTTTTTTAGGAAACATCAACAAAAACATCGAAAATCAGAAGATACTTCAACTCCCAAGATCAGATTGTTAATTCTCCCCTTTAGCTGTGACACATTTCCTTGTAAATCAGTGATGAGAACTTGGTGTTATTTAACAACTATTTGCTGAAGGCATGTAATAATTTTTTAGTATAATTGCTTAGTTTCTTTCAAATTCCTTTGTAAATTCTGTAAACAAAGAAAGCATTGTGCATATATTTTTATAACTACATTGATAACCTGTATGAAGATAAGCAGGCAGTTTTAACAGGTTTACTAAATTCAATCGGCAAAAACTCCATATCTTTCTTTTAAAAAGTGTTCTGCCACTATTTTTCAGCATATTTTGTCCTCTTCGCAATTGAATTTTCTTTCATTGCAGCGTTTATCACTTCCTCGGAAACATTGACGAAACGCGAGTCAGCCATTTTGAATTTCCTATTATCATTTCGTGCGAGGCGAGCATAACGTGATACCAATCAGAGCGAGCACATTTGCGCATTGCATCGGTACAATCAGAACACACATCGGTTTGCAATTCTAATGTTCAAGTATTCGCCACAACAAATCTAGTTACTTTAGTGAAACAGAATAGGCTAGGATAGACAGGTGCAGGGGCGGATCTAAGATTTTCAAAAGGGGAGGGAGGGGCACCACAAGTGAATGTGAGAGTTAGTTTTGATATTTAAAAACTCAGTTCAGTACTGATGTTAATTTTTGGTCCACCTACAAGAGGGGAGCGGGGGGCTGGGCCGGGCACGGGCCCCCAATGCCTCCCTCCCCCCTTGGATCCACCACTGAGGTGTACTTACTCTCTTTGCCTCAGTTTCATCCGTACTCAGCCAAAGCTTTGCTTCCGTATCTTTAACGTTGCTAAGTACAAGATACAATGCGTAGGATGTCCAAGGTGCTGTTTTGAACTTAAATGGATAAACAAAGCCAATCATCTCAGTCATACGCTGCAAAATGTTTGTCTCTGATTCTGGGACAATCCTTATGCCATCAGGAAAGGTAATGTTTGGGACTTCTCTGTACTCCACAACTGTCAGACCAGGTGGAAAATCCATTGTTTTACACTGGCTTAATGACGTTAGAAACTGTCCTTCATTTCCCCACCAGCCTCTGACTTTGCTGCTGACAGCACCACTCTGACAGGCTCCTATTGGTGAGTAAATGGGGTAACACCTACTGTCCTGTACACACCAGCCACAGTGAGTACCACCAAATGATAAACAACTACTACACTGTGAATAAATAGCACACGGTCCAGGACATGAGCCCTGTATCAGGCTAACTGAACAATTTGCTGACAAATCACGGCTCAGACACTTTTTTGGTGAACTGCACCACCCACATTCTGGGTCTTCCCGACAACTTGTCTGTGTACTATAGCCTTCACAGTGTCCACCTACAGTGTTTTTTGCTGCTATGGCAACTGGTAATTTATAGCCCAAGACATCTCCAAGTGGCAGCCCAGCAAAGCCACCAGTCACAAGCATGACTCGTCCCTTTCGCAGAAGAGCCGAATGGGAAAATCGTCCCTGCTGAGGATTTCCATCAGAAGGAGAAAGAGCATCAAATGTTGATGCTGAAATCCACTTATTGCATTTCAGGTGGTAAAACAGAGTTTTGTTGTCATAACAAATTTCTTCACGGTAATGTTCATGAATGTTTCCACCTATTTTAATGAATACAAACAAAAAAAATTACAAGAGCTTAAGTTGACTTCACACTGTTCTCTTGAACAAAAACAATGATGACACATAAGAAAAACTGATAACAAAGACTGATTTCAACTCAACAGATGAGTGGTTCTCCAGTAACCCTTCCCACCCTAACATCAGTGTCCACATTCTCAATACTCATCTCTGTATATTTCCTTTGGTACTGACAAGAAGAACCTGTTAACCCTTTAAGACCCCCAAGTGACCAAGACAGAATTTCTCCTTACAATATCCATACAGTATCAAGCAGACAAGTGATGAGAATTAAGAAAAATATCAGTTAGGGGATTAAAAGTTGATTCAATACCAAATTCTCCAAACTAACATCACAAGAACTGAATGGCAGACAGAAAGGAGAGTTACTGACAAGATCATGGGAGTTAAAGGGTTAGATAATTAAAGCTTATTGGCTTAGCAATCATTTCCTTTATTCACTTGAAAGTTATGATAATTCAGCAGTACTATTGTCAGGAAAAATTAGATACTGATAACTCTAAAGATTTAAAGAGTTACTGTTATGGTAACTAACAGTTTGAATTGTACAACTGAAGAAAAAAGACACAGTTTCCATTTTGTGCAAGACATTTAAACCCTTTGCTACCTAAAGAGTGACAAGCATCTAATTTCTCCTTACAATATCACCCCTGAATCAAACATTAATGTAACCAGAATAAAGGAAATGATTACCAACTAAAGAAGCTCCTGATTATTAAACAAATTCTCCTTGTCAGCACCTTAGGAAATGTATGGAAAACATTAAGGAGAATATGCATACTGATGTAAGGGTATGAAGGGTTAACCTTGCACTTAGGTGTCAGTTCCTCTTACCATAAATTATCATATAATCTCCAATCAACACAGCAGAGTGAAATGCACGGCCTCTCGGAACAAAACCTTTAACGTCTATTGTGGACCACACATGAAGATCGAGATGAAACACCAGAAGTTTGTTGGATTGATTACTTTTCCTAATAATCATAAAAAAAGGAATTAAGTCACTCAGCAGTAAAAGACAAATGACCACAAAGCTGGAGGTTGTTTTCTTAAGATTACTTTCAACAATAATGTGCCTTCTGGAAAAATTGTCTTATGCTCATTACTTCAAAAGAAACCATGGAAAACTACTTATCACTGTTAAGCTTATAAAGTATAGACTCAGAAAATAACAACAGTTTTAACAGTCTTTGTCTTGGTAGGCACACACAAGTCTTTAACGCAAAACAGGGGTACATGTTTGCTTATTTAAATTACCAGCCATATCTTGTGTTTAGTTTTTAAGATTTGGTTTTTTGTTTTGACAAATTTAACTCAAGAAAAGTGTAGTACATTGTTTGTAATATCACTGTGGGATGACTGAATGATGTAAAAGTACTCTAATCAAGTAACATGATTGTACCAACTTATTAGATACTTGATTGATGAATAAAAACAGAAAACAGACAGAAATTAAAGAGTAAGTGTCTCCACTAAGTGAATACACAACAAGAAGGAAAACAGAATTTTTAAATTTTAAACCAGATTTTGTTGACAGTAACCTCAGTTAATAACAGTAATGTTTCTATACAATAAAACTATGAAACTAATATTACTATTATTACCTTGGCATGCTGGGTACAAATCCACCAAAAATGACAAGAGAGCGCATGTCTGCATAATAAATTGCTGAGTGACCCAACATGCGCAAATGTGCTTCCTTTCCTCTCCTATATGAAATCCTCTTCCAACCACTTTGGTTTGGTAAAGAATATGAATACATAGCTGAAGAAAATGGGTCTGTAAGGGTTCGACCTGTTTAGGAGGAAAATATCCAACAGTTAATTTTCCATAATCAGTTAAAAAATTAATTGGAATGGTCTCTTGGTATGAGTTTACAGACTTTTGCATTTCAGGAAGCCCCATATGTTTTTTTTTACTGCTATCATTTTTGGCAAAGTTCTATTCTACAACTTAGTTTTTTAGGAAGCCAGGATAAAAGAAATCCTTTGAGACAGATTCATCAGAACTTTATACCACATGTACATGTATATCAAAAAGTTGTTTTGTCACCAAACACTTACCACCAAAAATGTACAGTTCATCATCCACTATTGTCCCCGTATGTTCTGCCAGAGGAGGTGGTTTTTCACTGTCATTTACAGCTAGCTCTGTCCATTTTCCAAGAGTAATGTTGTACAACCAAAGTTCATTGGTTAGGTTCCCATTTTCTAATTCCCCCCCGAATAGCACCATGCTGTCAAGATACAGGTTTGCGGAGTGAGAAAATCTACCAACCTATGAAGAGAAAAATGAAACAAGAACATTAATAACAACATATCAACCTTTTGACCCCTAAGAGTAACTAGTAAATAATTCTCTTCATGATTCTCCCCTGAATCAAACATTTATGTCACAAGAGTAACGGAAATGATGGTAAATCAAAGGTCTGAAGCTCTTGAAAAGGTAATCCTTTGATCCCTGAGAGTGACTAGCATCTAATTTCTCCCCACAATACCATCCCTCAATCAAACATTTATGTCACAAGAATACACAAAAAGATCATGAATGAAAGAAGCTCTTGATTGTTGAACAAATTCTCCTTCCTGGCACCTCAATAAATATATATAGAACAGCATGGAGAATATGCATAGTGCTGTTAGGGTGTACAAACTAAAAATAATCAGAAACTCACAGGTTTAGGAGAGCCAGTTAGAACCTCACTCCACCGGCTTGAGGTAAAATTAAACTGTAACAAGTCATCAAATACCATACTTAAAGAATAACCTGTGAGAAGGACAAAATAAGCACTATGGTTAACTTTTTAAACATTTAAAACATTGCTTTCTCTTACAAAGACAGTTCAGAGTAAGTTCAAAATTACACTGTCGTGGTAGTACTAATGATAATCATGAACAGATTGACAGAGAAAATGACTGAAGGAAACCTTATCTGTTACATGACCTGACAGAGGACAGGATGCCCAGATTAACTGGACAGAGGATAATTCCTATATTCTAATGTTTCAATTTACAGCACTCTGTCTCAACTCAAGCCCCCATCTCATACAGAACAAGGTTAACTGGTGGCATGGTAGGGGAAGGGGTAGAGCCAAATTTGTTTTACCGTCCTCTTTATCAGAGAGCAGTTTGTCCCTTCCAAGAATATCCTTGGTGAAAAAGACTACCACAATGATGATACAAGTACTTCATAACTCCAAAAATTTCACAAGTTCATTTATGTGCATGCACACACCTCCAAAGGAAAGTAACACATCCTTTTCCTCTGAATAAACCACAGAATGTGCTGTTCTTGGATGGAAAATTTGAGATGATGATGAAATGGTGAACCACTTGTTAGAGTCAGCATCAGTCATTGTTGAAACAGAACAAGATTCTCCAATAAAGCCACTTTTACAGACACAATGTCCTTGGGCCTGAAAATTAAAAAATAAATAGAATTATCCTATGAATCATTGTGAGTTACTACCACAAAACTGATCAAGAGAGCATTCTATACAGATATTCATAGGCTTCAAAGCCTTGTGTGTGCAGTTAACCTTTTCACTCCCAGGATCTCATTAGCAATTCTCCTTACTATCTACTTTACAATTCCTGTAATGTTTATTCAGAGAATTTGGTATTGCATCATCTAACAGTAACCTAATTGATATTTTCTTTGTTCTCACCACTCATCTGCTTGATTTTGTATTGACATTGTAAGGAGAAATTCTGTCTTGGTCATTCATGGGAATAAAAAATTAAGCATTGAAAACTTCATCTGTGTCATATTATTCAGCTGTAAGTAGTTTTTAACACACAGACCAACTTTTCATGGCCAGATTTACTTGTGCACTTCCTCTTCTAGCAGGCTGTTAATACCAGCTTTGTAAACACATAGTGAATTTTTTTAATTCAGATAGAAATCTATACTAAACATATCCCAATTAACAACAACCAATTGAGAGTCAATTAAACCCTTAACACTGTTCCTTTTTAACCCTTCAACTCCCAAGATCTGATTGTTAATTCTCCTATCTAGCTGCTACACATTTCCTTATATATTAGCCACAAGAATTTGGTGTTTGATCAAGATAAAAACTTCCACCTGATAAAGTCGAGTCTTCTCATAACCTGTTTGCTAGATTGTGTATGGATGTTGTAGGGAGAAGTTACAATTTTAACACTTATGGGAGTTAAAGGGTTAAACTATCACTACTTACAAAATCACATTCTCCCTGAGCTTCTGCATTGTTGCAATTCAATGGACAAGAAGGCAGGTCACACGCTTTGCCTCTCCAATTTTTGTCACACTGACAGAACCCATCCTTACAAATCCCCTTGCCAGAACATCCATCTGTACAGTTTTCTATTGTATAGTTAGCAATGAACCCATGGAGGGAGTAGTTGGTGTCGCTATAAAGATTGATAAGCATCTGCCAAAACAATAGTAATGGAAATGAAAGCTTTGATACAAGTACAATGCAGGTTATATAAGCTGAATTATTTACACATTTTGATTGGCTCTTCTTAACCCTTTACACCCTAACACCAATATGCATATTCTCCATGCTGTTCTCTATACATTTCCTAGTTTCTAACAAGGAGAATTTGTAAAACCATCAAGAGTTTCATTAGTTGCTGATCATATTCTTTATTCTTGTGACTTAAACATTTGATTCAAGGGAAAGATTGTAAAGAGAAATTAGAACCTTGTCACTCTTTGGGATTAACCTTTTAACTCCCAAGATCTGATTGTCAACCGTCCCCTCTAGCTGCCACACATTTCCTTGTAAAAAAGTTACAAGAATTTGGTGTTAGATCGAGATAACAACTTCTACCTGATAAGTTTGAGTATTCTCATGACTTGTTTGCTGGATAATGTTTAGATATTATAGGGAGAAGTCACATGATAATGTGGGAGTTAAAGGGTTTTGCGACATACTACTACATTTAAGCCTTTATTTGATGCAAGGTCCAAATGATTCATAAACATCAGCAAAAATCAAGTGGCAAATATCACTTGGCAAAAATCACTCTGGTTTTGCAGTACACAAAATGATCATAATCTTTGTGATATCAACACATTTTATTTTATTGACAATTAACGTTCCATAATTGAAATGGTACATATAACTTCCATGTCCCTTTCTCTATTCACTATGCAATACTACATCTTAGGTTTCATTTGATGCAAGTTCATACCACAGGCTACACGTAACGAAAAAGTCAAATCGCCACTAGTGGCAAATTGACTTTCAGTGCTGGCAAGTTTTTCGGCAGTGAGTTTGCTGTGGTGGTGAATTGACCAAATACCATAGAGAACAGTATGGAGAATATGCATACTGATGTTAGGGTATAAAAGGTTAAATCTACCTTACATTTAATTTTTTGCCCTAAATACCCACCTGTCCTGAATGAGATACAACTGTGTGTAAGGAATTGTTCCCACTGATGCTTCCAATGAGAGGAGAGAGGTAGGAGTCACCATCATGAATGAACAAATAATCATAAGAACATTCTGTCCCAAATTCTATAAATTTCAATGTAATAGAAACATTTGGATGTGGAGCTGTGGAAAAACAAGCCAGAAGGTTAATAACTAGTAATAATCATGGATTAGCAACCTGCCTTGTATATAACTTAGGAATGGATAATGTCTCTGAGTAATAAAATCCATTTTACAGTATATTATAACATACGAACACTGTATGGTGGCTTGGCTCACAGTTTGGAGTTGTAGTAACTCATTTCATTTGATCAAATGATTGCAATTTAACTACAGTAATTTGTAAATCTTCCTATAGAATCCAGACTTAAGAGAATGAAGATACCTACATGAGATCAAGGCCATGTTTCTTAGTCAGTCCAATAACATATTCCATTGCATTTGGTTGAGTCTTACAAATTTTTTGGAAATTTTCTGCCAAAGGCAACTTCTGAACACCATTTGTTAAAAATTAATAATTTTAAAAATAATTTGATATCGCAACATCTTTCCTCACAATCTTACTTAAAAGCAAAAATATCTTACTCATTAAAACACTGTTAGAGACATACAAGTAGCGTTGCTGGTATAATGAGATACATGAAAAAAAATTACTCAGTTCTGATTGGTTACAATAAATGCAGTTTTCAAGTACATCAGTGCAGAAGAGTGTTAATTCAGTGCAAAAAAATAACAAACCAGACTGAACAATTCCTTGAACTGTTAAGCTAGGCTTTGAACTTTTTTGTACCTTAAAGATGCGAAAATATCATTGTATATTATTGTTTTGCTCGTATGTGGTTGTTTTGACCGAACGCACAATGTCAATTCCTGCGTTTTAATAAATTATTTTTGTACTTGATACGCACGCTTTGCTCCTGCATAATTAAGATAAGCTATCTTGAACTTTTTCACATATATGATTAATACGTAATCAAATGATTTTTCTTGTGTGTTTTGGAATAAATAAGCACTTGTAGATTTTTTCAAAGACCACAAATTACACTTGCCCTACAGGCTTGTGCAATTTTGTTCATCTTTGAAAAAATTTTCTTGTGCTTGTTAATTCAAAATTACACTTAAAATCACGTGATTACCTTCACTGATGTGTATTGTTTACGAAGTTTGTTCTTCATGAAAAAAGGTGTGGGTTTCTACAGAAACTATGGTGCTATGTTGGTGGAGGGGTATTACAAGATACTTTTGCTTTATCAACTGAGTTGACATTGTACATGTAAATCAGCCATAGTAGAAAGTTTCTAAAGCTGGCATTTTAAGCATTAGCCCATTGTAAGAATGATTAGCTATTCATGCATAACAGTGTAGATTATGAGTCAGCAATTTAATTACCCCTAAAAGTAAAGGAATTTTTTTTCATTTAATACATATGTTGTATTCTAAATTGAAATTCTGACATATAAATGCCAGCTCATCTTGAATTCATTCAATGAACTAAGCCTAACATGAAAGAAAAGCAGTGTACAGTGTATGGAACAAAATACACCTAACTGTGAGTTATATCAACCACTTTCCAATTACATCTATCTGTGAATTTGTTAAGTCTAGTTGCAAGCAAATGTTTGTACAATGGACAATCAAGGACTGACTTCGAATATCTCATCCGATTTTTGATGTGCATGTACATTTTGTGGTCGACAGACACCTTCTGTCTATTTCAAACACTCTCAAACAAGTTTGATTTACATTTTTGCCTCAAATTATTCACCATTAACACCTACAAACAAGCACAGTAAAACTTGTTTGGTTTGAGATCCATAGAATGGTCGAATCACTGCTGTATCGTAAACTATATACACATGATAAAAAGTCGTGAAACATTCCAATTTGATACAATTGATCGGTCCAATATGAGTGATAAAAAAAAATACTGTCTATACGGTCATGGCAACAACAAATTTGTGGACCTAATCATGTTACTAAATATTTAAACACCACAATACTTGTTCAAGATGGAATTTCCAATTGTACAATAACAAATTAAATCCTAACATACAAGATCTATTTACAATGCTGGTATAGCTAAACACATCATAAAGTGTGGATACAGACTAGTATTACACAGCTCTCTTCGCTGTGTTTGTCGGAACAAGCTTCTAATTATGGAAATATTTGTAAGTCACACAGGAATCGAATTAAAATGGGTTTAATTCTTCTCAAGAAGGAGTAAAAAGCAGAGTTAGAAACATGAGCCTGCCTTCGCATCGGAGAACCTCTCACATGCTTCTAATTCGACGAAAGTCCAAAACGATTTCTTTACATTGAAAGCATATCGGTAGATCGATAAAAGAATAGTGGAAAAGTGGCCTATCCATTAGTTCATTAACTTGTTGAAGCAAGTTACCGGTAGGTAACGTGGTGTGGTTGCTCAACGGATTGAAGATAACATGATAGATAAATTACCTACCTTTAATAAGCCATTCACATAGTTTGTTTTCCGGATAGTTACCGGGTCCATCGGTGATCGTTCCTCGTAAATCTGTTAAAACAGTTCTTCCACATAAATGGCAACTTTCCAGACAAAATGCAACAAGGAACACAACAATCACATTCAACCCATTAGCCGCCATTTTGTGATTGTAGCTCTTATTAACGTGGTTAAACACCGAAATGTTAAACGAGCTACCGCAAATCTCTTTCCGATTAAAAGACAGTTTGTATCTTCCTCAAAGAAGACACTCCACCACCTCCAAGGTCATCTTTGTGCGAAGCACCAAAAACAGAGGAAACTTTCACGCATCCTAAACATTCCTCATCTCCACTGACAAGAAATCATACGTATTCTCTCTTTCGGCACATTTCCGAGCTTGTGAACGCAACTTCAGAAGTTCAGGTCATCTAAGACGCTTTCTGGACATTATGTGAAGCTAAAAACTCAAGAATTCCGGGGATCTAACACCTCTATATATGCTTCTTTTAAAGTTTCCCCTTCGAGACGATGTAAACACGAACGTTCCTTGTCGGCTTGATCACGTGACAAAAGTACTTATTGCAAAAGTACCCCCACCCCCTGTGAACAAGCTTGCCTCTGTCCTGACTAAGGCTTCTCTCGATGTTTATGTACTCGTCTGAGCCTATTTATTAATTTATTTCCTCCGCCAATTTTCTTTGTGTGAATTATGGATTTAAAGAGCCACCGCCGTTTCAGCTGGCTATTTTGTTTGCACCTAGCGGTACTCAGAGAATCTTCAAGAAGCTTGAAAGAAGCTACTTCCCAGACCTCTCTCTCTCTTTTATGTCACTCTTCCTTGTCACGTATCTGACAACAGAAATGACTTGAACGCGCAAATCCGCCAAAGAACATCCAAGCACAAAAGGAAGTAAATAGCCAAGGTATGTGCTTCTAGCAAAAATTATGACCATTAAAACAATTATAACACTTTGCTTTTTTCTTTTTTTTTTCGTATCAATTTGTTATTTTTGGTTAATCAAAAACTACACGAGTAAATTTTTCAATTACAACAAAATTGCATGAGTCCGTGATTAGTAATGGTATAAATACGACCGATTGGAGCACAGTTCGGTCATACGAGTGATTAACAAAATGGGACGACCGCGAAGCGGGAGTCCAATTTGTTCATCACGAGTATTACCTTAACATGATCATGAAAAAAGCATCACGGAAAGTCAAGACAGACGAAATGTTAACAGCGCGCGCTATTTGTAATTTGAACTCGTGTAAAATGAAACATGGACAGAAGCGCATACTTTTTCATGTATATTATTATTTTTTAACCTGCTAGATACTAAAATATCTACTTTTTATTTAACAAATAGATTCCAAGTTGCCGTGCGTCTGTTCAGTAATAGATCACAGATGACGCCAAAATGTGGTAAGAACAAAAAAGTGGCACACGTGGCGCAGCCGAGTGTGTCACTGATGTTCTTACCACATTTTGACGTCCTCTGTGATCTATTTTTGAACAAACGCACAGCAACTTGGAATCTATTTGTTTTATATATTAAAGAAATAAAATATACGGGAAAAAAGTTTTAATGATGACGTCATCTATACGTCTGTCCTCCTATAGATCATAAGTGAGAACCAATCAGAATGCGTACATAACCGAGCTTATTACATAAACGATGATAGACTATTGGCTTTCGGTCAACCATGACATTCGGACAATCGTCGGCAAGGTCTCGGCCAGGACGATGTGCACGATGCGTCAACGATCGCTGAACATGAGAACGAAAACATAACACAAGACAAACTTAGTTCCAAAATAAGTAAGAAAATCACTTTATTTTAAGTAGTTACAATAATTTCTAATTACAAAGCGCGGGAAAACGCGAGCGACCATGTCGTGATCGGTTTCAGTTTTGCATCTGATTGGTTAAGAAAGTGACGCGATTTTCTAGACCAATCAAGGCAAAGCGAATGCAATCCTGGCTGACTTTCGACAATTCATTAAAAAATTGCGCTAATCAATACAAATAATTGCACTTTGAAGGTCTATTGCATCAAATTAAGGATTCTGCGTCACATTATTGAATTAGGTAACGATACATTTGTTATTTAGGGTGATTCTGTCTTGCAATTCAGCAAAAAATTTAAACTAGCCCAAACGATACAAAATAACCTTTGATAAAAACCGAAAAAAAAAGGGAAATAGGTTTAAAGGAGGTATAAATTTCTCAAATGAGTCTCCTTTAACTAAATAATTATGGAAGTTACTTGCGTATATCTCGCCGGTATAATTCTAAATCATTCTAAAGCTTGCATGAGAATGAATCTGGAAAACTAATACGAGATCCACCATCAAAATAACATGGTAACGCATCTTTCGCCTCAAATATTGTAACCCAGTCCTTCAAATTGACACCGCCTGTGAGGAGCTCATTCTTGCACTGAAAGTAGGTGACTAATCACTTAAGTACATGAGGATAAGCCAGTGCCGAAGCTCTGTAGGTCTCTGGTAGCTGGAAGTACTATGGATCAAAATAAAAAATAAATAAACCTCGAAATTAAACAAAGCAATAGTTGGTTGCCTATGAGTTTCTTTGCATTGTTCTTCAAACACGCTCTTCCTAAACCGGTTACCTCTTTTCTAGAGGGCCAGGTACTACATTAGGATCGTTGAGTCGTTGTATGCGTCGGGAAAATACTGCCTTCACCGTCAATAAAATGCGTGTATAATCTAGCTTATTATTCCACTATTACGCCATTCAGCCATATTAGGGCATCGAAACGTGCAACGAATTTTCAATCGCATCAAAGTTTTTTGTTGGTCATATAAAAACACTTCAATGGTTTCGCTTGTGTTGTTTTCGTCTTTTACGCGTGTCTCATGCGATCAATACAGTGCTCAAACAAGGCTATGGGATGTATTTTGAAAACTAGATGCCAAAGTACTAGAAAATGAAGTAAAGTGAATTAACAATTCTCTTATACGATGATTTAACATACAATACGAGCGGAAAAATTCTACGTAACTCGCAAAATATCCGCGCGTATTATCTGTTAACCTATTGAGAAGGTGTATTTAATGTAGAATGCCGTAGCGAGTGAAAATTATTAAATGTGCACTTTGGGTGCCGATGTAAAATGAAGAGAATCAACCTTACCTGTTGGCCTACTCGTGACAAAAAGCGCAACCGCAGCTGAGCTGCAGAGCGAGGAGTGATTGGACTCACATTATAGTCTCTCTTGTGAATGTCTTCCTCTTCTGACGAAATACTACATGAGACAACACATAATAAACAATTGAAACGTTTATGTAAAAAAAAAAAAAAAAAACCCCTTTTTCTACTAGAAAATATAATTGGGAAGTTAAGATAAATGTACCAAGTTATCTTAAATTTGATCACCTCCATATCAATCGCGATTAAAGGTTGGGACGTACTAGTGAACTATGCTCTGACATAATAACGTTTATCGACCGATTTTTTTCTTTTAAGTTCTAGTTAGAAGGGCAAATTTATGCCACGAGAAAGTAACATTAGTTCGAGTAAATCGAATTCGAGTAAGCTTATAGTAGATGACTGGGAAAATGGGGTCAAATTGGATCTTGTTCGAGCTAGCGTGGAGTTCGAGTTAACCGAGTTCGAGGAAGCTGGGTTCTACTGTACTTTCTTTTGACATACTTACAGTGTGACTCTGCTTTGAGCTGCTAATTTCTTTCTTTCTAGGGTGGAGAGGTTTAGGCCTGTCCCTTTTCATAGAGAAAGAAACAAAGGTTGAAGGGCAAAACATAAAAATTTTCTCATCATTTTCGCCGGTCACAGAGTTCGACCAAAGTAGCTTGTAAGGTTCCTCATACATCTTTTTCTCAATATAAAGGTTTCGCAAAACTCAAAAGAGGAAAAAAAATGGAAAATTCATGAGAAGAAATCACTCAAATCAAACAAACCTCTGGAGGCATCAACCAAGTAGAGCAGAATGCTGGCAATCAAGGCAACTGTGAGAACAATCAGAAAATATTATTTTATCATTTTCCATGCAAGGTCAAACTTCCGTATATAAGCTGATAACCTGCAAATGGAGTATCTATTTTGGGAAAAATCCTAAAAGATGCCACTAGTTAGAGTGATTTGCCGCTCTCGGTATGCTAAGTGATCGCACAAAAGAGGGTTTCACTAAAGATTATGGAAATTTCAGACCATGTAAGAGCGAATACTTACTGCACAACCAGGCGCAGAAAAACACTTCCAATACTAAATATCCTTTAAGGTCTACAATTGTTCCAGCTACTTGTGAAATAACTGCAAGTCCCAGATTCTGAATAGACTGCATGCTGAAAGAATAGTTTGAAACAAGTACTTGCGTGAGGTGTCCACAACATTGACTGCACGTAAGGTGACAGTCCCTTTCAAGTTGAGTATCCTGACTCACAACTCGACACTCAATAAATCGATACGGAATTAACGAGAATCCAGTCAAAGGATTCCATATCGGTAAATACTCGACACTGGCAAGTATCGGGATTAAATTATTGAAAATCGAGTCAAGTCAAGGATCGGGTTACTCACGAATATAGAGATCAGTACAAGTCAAAAGAATAGATTCTGGACAATTCTCGAGTTACGCACTACATATTGCGAGTACAAGACATAGATAATGATGACCGAGTCTTTTTTTTTTTTCGATTCTGGACCCTCGCTAGTCGATAAGAACTTTTCGAGGTTCGAGAAATCGATGAACAGAAAGAGGCATCAAACACTTCTTCACTTAATGCCAAAGCACTATCCTGCAAACCTATCTGACAAATGCTGTGAGTTGGAGAATCTAATAACATTTCATAAAATTTCTTTAAGCAAAACAGATCCTACCAATTTAGATAACTTAAAATCGATTGTTTTTCTGGTTTTCTGCGGGGGTTGGAAAACAAACACAAAACGTAAAGTAGAAGGAGAACCTTCGAAACTTTGCAGGATGGCTGCAGCCGCCACTTCGCCTTCTTAAAAACAGCAAACATTTGGTATACTTACAATCCATAGGCAGTACCCAACTGATGTTCAGGGACAACTAAAGCAACAAGTGGCCACAGAGCACAGGCCAACATGGAGTAAGACACACCCAGTATACTCTGCAAAACACACACAAAAAACATGCGTCCATTTTCTATGCAATTTAGAGCGCTTTTCGATTGACTGATGCGAAACCAAAACCAAAATAATCATAACGGTCTCATGAGAAGAACCCTTCGAGAACCAATGAGAACTCGAAGTTAAAACAAGCCAACTGCCAAAAGCGCGGGGAAACGCGGGTGACTAAGTCGTGACAGGAGAGGATCCTTTCTTGGTCGTGATTGGTTTTGGTTTTGCATTTAAGAGAGTGGCGTGAGTTTTCTAGACCAATCACAGAGCGAAGAAAAGCAAAATCAATAGAATCTCGGATAGCTTTTGGCACTAAATCCAAAATTGCTCCAAATAGCAGTTCGAGTTATGCCTCCAAAAAAATTTTCGGAGGGCTGAGGTCAAAATGCTTTCTGTCCGTAAGTCAAAGTCAAATGTCAATTGACAGTTGATCGAGTGACAAGGCTCTCATTTCGAGATTCCATTTTCAAGGATCGAGTTTCGAGACACTCGCATATTTTCTTGAGATTCTGGACGATACTTTTTTTATTACGAGGAATTAAATCAGTGGATCATTTAGGATAACTCCTATGAGTGACCAAGACAGAATTTCTCCTTACAATATAAGAGAATAAAGAAAAATAGCCATTAAATTCATTGAACTAACATCATAATAATTGTATGGCAAACAGTCAGAAGAATTACTACTGAGATCTTACTTACCATAGCGACAAATGGGTTACAAAAAGTGAAAGCCATCAAGCAATGGCAGCCAAGGGTTACAGCCACTGATAAAATTACTATAACGAAAAAATGATGAGAGAATATTTAGGTCTGACGTAGATGAATCTTAAGAGTTTTACTTTTTTCCTTTTTCAGTTTTTAGCGAGACCAAATGGAAGAAAGAATGAGTTGCTAATGTGACGGTTATTTTTTTTCTTGGTCTAAGATTCTTCAAACCAGTCCGAGCATTTAAAAAATTAATTAATTTTTTGAGGCATGCACTACAACATTTACTCACCAACGTGTTGGTTTTACTAAACCATTAAGCTGCTAAGCTGCCAAGCCTCGAGGTTAGAGCACTTTTCGATCGAGTGTTGTAAAACCAACAGAAAAATAATTCCAACGGCCAATCAGAAGAGAGGAATATACCTCTAAGAGCCAATGAAAACTCAAAGTAAAACTGACCAAACTGCCTGAAAGCGCGGGAAAACGCCAACGACCAAATCGTGATTGGTCATGGTTTTGCATTTGATTGGTTAAGAGAGTGGTGCAAGTTTTCTGGACCAATAAATGAGCAAAGTTAAGGAAAACTTTCGACACTCAGTTGACCATTGCTCCAATACTAATTTACCTCCACTTTGGTAGATTATTGTTCCTTATCAAAAATAAGACAACAACCTGCTAAGTTGATTGAATGTGCAACAAACTCACCCCAGAAGATATTCTTTCCAACTCTATCCACCATAAAGCCCAAGAATGGAGAGGCACAGGCGGAAATGATAAACACCACACTGCAAACAAGAAGTAAAATATAAAAAAAAAAATTGAACATGAATAAATAAATAAACATATCTATAAAATAAGTAATGGTAATAGGACTGAGTGGAGTCTGTAATCATATGAGAGATAACAAAATCGGATGACCGCACAGCGGAAGTCCTATTTGTTTATCACGAGTATGATTACAGACTGAATTGGACAATACGAAGTCTTGTTACCAATCAATCATAAAAATTACAGTGTCCAAGAGAAGAAGAACATCCAGGACAGAGCTTGTGACTGTTTGATTTAAACTACAATTTTGAATGTGATTGGTTTAATTTAAACTGCAACTGTCTGATAACAACTTGACAAGTGAATTAGTGGAAATTAGGAGTTTTTTAAACTCACAATCACAATCCAGGAAACTGTTTTCTGATCACAATGATTATAATGATGTTGGAAATTGTCTCTAAGTAATTTACTAGTCACACAGTAATGAGCAAGTTCGTCTGAAGTTTTACTATTTTTTTCCCTTTTCTCCTTAGTAGGGGAGGGGGGGGGGGTTGATAGAGTTAAGACTCTATCTTGAGAAAGGGGGTAAATATCTGAAAATTGAGCTTCAGGTAGCACCATGGTGTATAAAGCTTAAAATGTAATTCAGCTCCAGCACACGGTGTGCTTCATAAGGGTCATTACCAGTATATTGGGGTGCTGAAAGGGAAGCTCATTTCTGCGTACCTGTTAACTGCTCCTGCTTTGGTGGGATTCAAGTCAAACTTTGCCTCAAAAAATGCACTAAAGAAACAAAAATAGAAAATTTTAAATTTTCTACAATTGTGAGTTACAAAGCAGTTCTACGAGGATAATTATTCCCATAATTGCACATGAACAAAAGACTTTTAACCCTTTTATCAACCCCAAGAGTGATTAGTGTCTAATTTCTCCTTACATCATAACCCTAAATCAAACATTAAGGTCATGAGAATGAAGGAAATGATCACCAACTGAAGAAGCTCTGGATTGTTTCCCAAATTCTCATTACCACCACCAGGAAAATGTCTAGAGAACAGTATGGAGAATATGCATTGTGGTGTAAAGGTGCATAATTTCAGTATCAAGTAATTTCTTGCTGGGACATTTGTTTCTTCATGAAGTAGAATTTAAAATTGGTCTGTTTTGAAGAAGTGTTTATTCATTACAGATGAAATAAGTTACTTACAGGCCAAGTGCTATAAATGGAAAAATAGCCACATAGTAGGCAACACAGATAATAAATATTAGCCACAAATTAAGGGGAAAGTCTTTGACATCTGACAAACGAATGACTTCACCTGCAAGAGAAAAAGTTGCAAATTACATGTATCTTAAAAAGTAAAAAAATTTTGACAACAAAATTGACTAGTCAAACAGCTCCTGTAAACTATTTTGCACAAATCTAAAATTTTAAATGATTTTCTTTCCTGGAACTTGTTAATTCCTGATGAGACCAAGGACATTCTATTACGCTTTTATAATCAAAGTGATGTCACAAATTGGCACAATTTTGACAAAAATTTTTACTTCCCGAGGAGCAGCATATTACTAAGCGGTCACCCGTACATGAACAAGTACAAGCATAAAATATTGTATCTAATGTACTCATGATTAACCTAATGACATACCTGTTTGACTATCTTCTTTCTTCAGAATGCGAGCTGCTCTCTTGTCCAGAAAACCCAGTACCAACCCACAGACGAGAGAAAACATGCAAACACCAGCTCCTGATAAGAAAACAGAAAAGTTTTCCATGAAGTAAGTGAGTGACTTATATTATTTTTTGTAGTAAGATAGTAGTAAGATATAGTAGATGTAGTAAGATATGCCATTCATTTTTTTAAGTTGTTATGAAACACTAAATTTAATGGAACACAATTCCTTGAGTAGCTCTGATAAAGCAAAATGCTCAAAACACCAGCTTTTGAATTTCTTTACCTTTATCAATTCACATTGTCAAGTCAGCTGAGTATTGTTTGTCACTCCTATCAATTTATTTCAACTCTGTGATAGTTTTGAATATGATTAAAAGAAAACAACAGCAAAAACAAAAACAATCCTCAAAGCATTTTAAATTAATGAACATATTACTGATCTAAGATCAAATCATGTGGACCCAGCATTCATTTTACACTTTACTGACATAATTTCCTCTAGTAGGGATAGATACTTTTGAAATTTTGGTAACATATATTTGTACTTACTAACAAACATATCTTTGCACTTACCAACAAACAAGGTCATTCCTAGAGCCTGGTAGCTCTTTGTTGCTAGGACATGACTTGAAAATGACTTATAAATTGGGTTGTTTACATTCATGTTAATTGTGCTGCCCTAAAAGAAAACATAAATTGAAAATAAAAAAGGAGATATACAGCATAAGTATGCTTTGTGTTCCTTTCAGAGTTACTTTAACCTGCGCCTAGCAGCTCAGGTTAAAATGACTTTGAGTCAATCCCAAAACACACAATTTATACTCTATTACTAAACTATTCAGTCAAACAACATTAGCCCTTTACCTCCCATAGGTGACTAAGAGAGAATTTCTCCTTACAATATTAATATAATATCAAGCATAGAAGAGATGAGGATACAGTAAAATATCAATTGGGGGATTATTGGTTGATCCAATACCAAATTCTCCAAATTGACATTATAAGAATTGTATGGCAGACAGTAAGGAGAATCAGTAATGAGATCTTGAAAGTTAAAGGGTTTAAGGTGTGCTTGAGTACTATGAAGAACATTAACCCTTTACACTTTAACATCAGTATGCATATTCTCCATACTATTCTCTATACATTTCCTCAGGTTCTAACAAGGAGAATTTGATCAACAATCAAGAGCTTTTTTAGTTTCTCATCATTTCCTTTACTCTTGTGACCTTAATGTTTGATTCAGGTGGGATATTGTAAAGAGAAATTAGATGCAAGTCAGTCTTAGAACTTTCCATCCAGAGTCTGGTAAGCAAGGCATGTCTTCTACATCACTGTTTAGCCATCATTTTAATTTGAATATAAATTTAAATATAGAGACTCCATCTCTCTTTGTTGAATGACTCATCTTGTGGCTTAAGTATAATTAATGGCAATATCTTTTTTTGTTGGAATTTAAATTGAATAAAATTTCCCCCCAAAAATTGTCAGAAATCCCAATCTTTACTATCAGGAAGAGGCATTGTGCAGGTTACATGAAGGTACCACCCTGGCCCAAACAAATCCAAATTCAAGTAGCAAACCCTTAAAGATAGATAAAGATAGATAAAGATAGATAAAGATAGATAAAGATAGATTAGATAAACCCTTAAACTTCCATGAGTGACCAAGACAGAATTTCTTCTTTCAATATCAATATAATATCCAGTATACAAGTGATAAGATAAAAAGCAAATATCAATTAGGGGATTATCAGTTGATCCAACACTAAATTTTTTGAACTAATATCATACAAATAAAATAGCAATTAACAGTAATGAGAACTAATAACTGAGATCTTGGGAGTGACACTCAGCCAAGAGTTCAGCTCACTAAGGATTCCACTAATGTTAATTGCTTGCTTTAAGTATAAAAAAGACCACATTCGAAAAAGTTGCAAAATGCTTTATGAATCAATAAGACATACCACTCTTGAAAAGCTTAGCTGAAGTCCAAACACCATATTCAACTCCTTCCCTTTGAACCAGTTCACAGAGTAAGTGTTCTGGGCCACTGCCAAATTTTCCCCTCCAAGCCTGAGGGAGAGTAAACATGTATAAGTTAATGTACTAAATATTAACGTTAAAAAAGACTTTAACTGGAAAGGCATGCTAAGGGAAACTTTTCTCCTATCTTGCAAATAAAAAAAAAACTAATATGGAGTTATTCAGGTGCTAAAGGAAAGCCTATTTCTTTTAGGTCCTGTCCTTATGGGTGAATGTAAGTTAGCAAGTTCTAAGTCCTTAGGACTTTTTAACATCATATAAATTAAAATTAATCTGCACCATGTTTGTGATATTGAGCATTCAAACTTCACACAGATTTTGTAAGTAAGCTGTTGTTTGTCTTGTCATAAGTGTGAGACACAGAAAAAAATTTTAATCCTCACAGGAATTGAACCCAAGACCTTCACATCAGACACTCCAATGCTACTACTGAGCCACAGAGAAAGGTGACTTGTGCTGTAGGCCACTACTAGGGTCATACATGTGTGTGACATGCATGCGGCATTCTGCAAGGATCAGCAATGTCCAAAGCATCATAACAGTAACTAGATCAGGCAGTCCAATTAGGAGTATCAAACATGGTTTTCACAACCACCACACAAGCATAACAGTACCACTCTTATTTCACCATAAAAATGCAAGCACAAACAAATGCAAATGCAATGCAAGCACAAACACAAGCCCAGGCACAAGGATCATAATTTTTCCTTTTCCTTGAGCTTGCCCTTGTGCCTATGTGAACCCCTTTTAACTGTGAAATAAGAGCTATTAACCTTGAGTTTGCGCTTGCACTCGAGCTTGCATTGCTCATGAAAGCCATGCTTTAAAGCTGACTGGCAGTTACAGCCCCCTTTCAAAGTTGTTCAATCACAGGAAACAAAGAACATTACACAGGGGCTTGGGGGATAAAATTGGTAAACTATACCACACTATTGTGATCTCACTTGTTTCTCAATTTTGTTGCTGAATGCAGTTTGGACAGAACTACCTGTTCTAACAACTGATCTCCTCCATTTAAAGACAGGACAGCCTGACAGGCCATATTTGCTGAACAGAAATAATTCATTACCTTAAAATACAAAGTACGATGTACTACCAGCTACTAATCCATGATAACTGATTATTTGACCTCCATAACCCATTTTCATCGAATAGCCAGACAACAAAACATAGAACTGTACATTGTACTTACCCAAATATAAACCTGCCCACCTCCATAACTGTAAAACTGTGGATGTAAGCTCCCAGAGAAAACACAATCTGAAAGAGTAGAAAAAGAAACACAGCATTTAGCATCAGAAATCCAATCAAACTACATTTTGTGATTTGTTCTGCAGTAAATACCTCTGTCACTGAACCACTATACACGCATGTAATACGCCAAGCTTTGTTTCTAGATACAGTTATCCACAATAGCTACTGAAAGTCAAAGCCACTTGATATCCTTTTGATCAAGCTACTTATGACTTAACCTTTTCACCTCTTGGAGTGACCAGTATTTAATTTCTCTGTACATTATCTCTGCCAAATCAAACATTGAAGCTATGAGAGAACAGTAAATGACCAACTACTCAAGAATATCTTGATTGTTAAATAAATTCTCCTTGTCAGTATCATTCACAGTGTATGGAGAACAGTATGGAGAATATTCATACTAATATAAGGTGTAAAGGGTTAACATTGACACACAATCAACTGCCCTTTAATATTTGGTTGATATTAAAAAGGTTCCCAAGGTCAGCTGTTGTTACACCCTAGAAAATCTAATATCCTATTTTAAAGGAAACAAATCCTGTAGAAAATTATGTCAGTCTTTGCAATGAATAGTATTAACCCTTCAACTGCCATTAGTGGCCATTAAAAAATTTCTCCTTACAATATCAATACAATATCAAGCAGAAAAGCAATGAGAATGAAGGAAACTATCAATTTGGGGATTATTAGTTGATCCAGTACAAAATTCTCTTAACTAATATCATAAGAATTGTATGCAGATAGTAAGGAGAATTACTGATAAGATCTTGGGGGTGGAAGGGTCAATAACAAAACCTTACCTAAAATATGACATCAATGTATATAAATTGAAAAAAACCTCACCTGACCACTTAAGACAAATAAACTGAAGATAATGGTGCCAAGCCTAACAAAATTAATTAAAAATATTATTAATTAATAAGACTTACAACAGAAACATACACAATTTATACATATCTCCACAAAACAGAGACCTCATCATGTAAACCATAAGAGATTCAGAGCACATTACACAACCAGTCATTCCTGTGCATAACATAAACCTCCATTAAAGAGTCCTAACTGTTGAAAGAGCTCTGAAGTGAAAAGATTTGGTGAAAAAATCCCTACTGTTAATTAAGATAGAAAAATTTTACCTCACACCAAAGACTCTGTCCAGAAGAAATCCACCAAAGAAACATAACACTACATTTGGGTATGAATAGAGCGAGTATAACAACACATATTTTTGTGTGGAAACATTCATGTCCTGCAAGCAAAAAGGAAATCACAATCCACTCATAGCATTATATGCTGTATTGTACATCATAAAATATTCAGAGAAATGTGCGCACTATGATTGGTCAGAACAAGTTCGTTATAATTCTATAAAGCACATGCCTTATGTCACACAAGTGTTTAGTTGAGATTTAATGCATGCAGCCTATGTCATCAGTATGAGCACATGCAATTCACAATACATTTAATAAATGAAATAAAAAACTTGTTACTTGAGCATTGTTGACTTATATAGGCACTTAGGAATTTTTAAGAACACTCAGCTCCTGCTTTTCTGTACTTCTCTCATGTTCCCACAAAATCAAAGTAAGTAGTATTTTTAAGTGAAATTCTAAACATTAAGGGGTCAATTATCACATAAAGTGGTGTTGTATTGTTTATTGTTTTTTGTATTATCCCTAATCTTTGGAACCTGAAGTTAAGCAGCCATCTCACCATACCCTGTGGGTGACCCCTTAATTCAGGACCAACTGTGCAAATTTTGTTGCACCATACAAAATTTTTTGCATACTTTGGAAGACTGTATTTTCCAGTATCCTAATAGAATTTGTTTACTTCTTGACATAAGAAAATTGTTCCAAGAAGTAGACTGCAGGGTTTATTCAGCGTGGTATATAGCTAAATTATCTCTCAGCCACATCTGAACTTGATGACCAAAATGCTTGCAGCCAGCAAAACCGGGCAAAGTAAACTGATGTTGACTCTTCTGAGAGAACCTATCTGACAGCTTTATGCCTCTTTTCTCCAGCTGAAATTGATAACTATAGGTAGAATTCTATTTGCACCTCATTCCTTAACTGTTCTCCTCACTGCATCAGAAAGATGGTAAAAATGTGAATGCAACTTAAATCTGCTTACCAGTTCAATATTTTTCTCTAATGCTGCTGGATTATCATAGCAGTAGTAACTTCCTACGAGACAGAAAACAGGACAACCAAAGAATGCAATTAATGTGGCAGTAAAAGTTGTCCTGAGCAATGTTGTCTGCAAACCTGTGTTCAGGTGGTTGAATAATCAGTTAGCGTCACCATATACAGGGGTTTCAATAACTTTTTCCATAATGGCTGCTTTCTTGTTAAGCTTTTCACTCCCAGATCTTGTTAGTAATCCTCCTCACTCTGCACCATACAATTCTTATGATTATTTTCTTCTGATTGATTTATTTTCTTATCACTTGTCTGCTTGATATTGTTTTGGTATCGTAACAAGAAATTCTGACTCGATCACTCATGAGAATTAAAGGGTTAAAAAGAAGGAAGTAAGAGGTGTTATGAGTGGTGGTAGACCACCAGATATCAGTTTTTAAAACCTTTGTAAAACAGTGGCAGTCAACACAGGACTTACCCCCTGCATGATCTGACCAAGGTAGTTATCTAGTAAATAAGAACAAATTCTTAAATCAAGGAAAAGCAGAGAATGGTCCAAAATACAGTTAATTAAGATTAGTTTGTCTCTGATGACCCAATTTTCAACACCTCAAGACAAAGGAAAAATGAAATGAAATGAATTCTTAGCTAAATTTATTTTGATTACTTGATTAAATTGATATAGGTGAAGTAAGATTATTGAATTTTATTGATCTGTAGAAGGGAGTTCCTTGGATCAGAGCATCTCTTGGAAAAACACCTCGGCTGTGGATTTCTGTTGTGAGACAGCATCACGAACGAATGGAAAGTAGATTTACATAAAGTTAGCATAGCATACTAGGAGTTTCTCAAAGAGAGTGAAACAGGTAGCGATAAGCGGCGAAAAATCACTGTTTTTAATTACAGTTCGAGTGAATCTAAGTTTTAATGGTGAAAAGACTACACTATGTTGTCTTCCCCCCTGAAATGACAGCTATCTGAGCGCATTTGTGTCTTTCAAAATTGAGGGAATGTTCGTGTTCGCCGGAACTGAACTGAAGGCAGAAGCTTTCGAGACTCCCAGGGTAAAGAATTACATGAAATATTTGGACTTTGCTCTTGTGACTGCTCATCAGATTTCAACGTTCATGCATGAAGTCAGTGTGTAATCGAGAGTTTGTCAGAAGTTTTTTTGTCATTTTTTAAGGTGCAATAATCAGTGAGCTAAGGAACTCAGGTACGTTCGTGACAGATCAAACAGGCAATCCAGACTCAAACTTACCAAAACTCAAGAAGCATATCAACCCAAGGACAAAGTAGCGATGGACACCTTTTCTAGGATCACAGCACACTGTGGCTCCACAACCGGTCAATTCTTCACCAGAGTGTTCAAATTTCTTGTTGAGAAGAGGTGCTATTTCACCGTTCTCCGCCATCTTGAATCGACGAAGCGTATCTCATGATTAACACGTGACCCAGTTATTTAAAGAGACTAGTTTTCCTCTCCAGACTTCCTCGAATCTCTCAGTCTCACCTTCAACCTAGTTCCCTTATCTTTAAGTTTCCTATCGCAATGAATTTGTGGAACAATCAAGGGCTTCTTCAGGTGGCGATCATTTCCTTTATTCTCACGACCTTCATGTTTGATTCAGGGGTGATACTGTTTGGAGAAAATATAATGCTAGTCATTTTTATCGGTGAGAAGACGGTAAGGCTACTATCACTGCGAAAGCCTACTCTGTTTCAAAACTTGCGTCACTAAAACGTACTTCCATCTTACTTTCAGCCTTCTTCCCATTTTTATCGTAGAATCTCGTCCGATCCCGAACTGCACTGCCCCATTTCTTCTCCCTTTGTTGCCCCATCTCTCTCAATGTGGAAAATACTAATAAAAGCACAAACAACAACAAGACCCACAGGCGGCGAACAGAGGGCTTCTCTTATGTAACAAACCTAAAAATGGATAACTCACTAAAATGGGTTCTTTTCAATAAAGAAAGCGGTCAGATAACAAGTGATGCGCTGTAGAAGTACGGTGAGGTATTTTTTATTGAGAATTTTGACAGTATTTTTTTTAGTCCTACATGCGATCGTAAATATTCCCACATAAACTATTATAATTTCACCATAACTCTCATTTCGCAAGATGATCATCGCACAGCTGGAGCTTGGGCCGCCTGTGCAAGACCAGACCGAGAGCTACATTCCCTACTCTTTACGAGAGGTATGTCGATTCTTTAACATCCCCTGCTAACCAGTACAGAGAAGATGCGGGAGACGGGGCCTAAGGTTTATCTTCCTTATCCGAGAAGACTAGAACATCTAACCAATCACAGATGTCATAGCAAAGACAGCATATCCTCCTCAGTTAATTTAAGACCCTGAGTGTTGGTCCGGTCTCGGGCTTGAACCTTCAACCTCCCGCATGGCATTCCGGTCCTGCGATTTCGGATAGCTCTGCCCGATTTCGACTTTAGAATGTATTTGCGTCCCAAGGAGCCAAACAATAGAAAAATTTGATTAGACCAAACTCAAATAGTGCAATGCAAACTCAATGTAAAATACAAACATAAGAAAATAATCTTGACGAAATTTGAGATCAAAGAAGCCGAGGAGGTTAGGAATCCACTTAAATGAGGTAAGGCTGTGAATCGCATCAACAACAGCGCATAGTTAAGAGAGCATGAACGAAACTTCGTTTGCAAACATTGATTAAATTAAACATTTCTACATCTCTGTCTGATTTCGGATGGCTCCGCCAGTTCAGGACGCCGGTTCCTTGTAATTTTGGAAGCTTCGATCCGATTTCGGTTGATTTCGTCCGATCTCGGACGATTCCCTCCGATTTTGAATTGTTTCGTCCAGTTTCGGATGGAATATGCCCGATTTGGGGCAATATGAAGAGAACACGAACAGCTTATGTTCATTAATGTTCTCTTGATGGATGATAACTTCCATCAGCTCGTGTTCTTATCATAATCACAGCTAGTCAAACTAAACACAAACACCTTAGGTGGAAGTTTTTTGAGGGAGTCTGAGTTATTTTTCTCATGGAATGATCCACACTAGTCTTTCTCAACATGAACCGAGTATCGCTAGAATGTATACAAACTGAGTGTTATGGGGACATGGTAAGAATTTTCGAATAGGGATTTCTTTCTTGCGCCTTACTAGGATGTAGAGACGTGCCTGTTTTATCATTCATATGAATTCTCATTTATTCTGGACGAATAAGAACTCTTTAAAACTCTATTCTTCATTGGACGCAGCTGTGTTATACCTCTCTCCCACCCCCTGTTAGGAAATTTTACTCACGATCCCATCAGCTACCCTTCTCCTTCCACATCCCACACCCCCCACCCCCTAAGTACGGTTGAGTGACCAATTTTACGTCCCAGAGGTATGTTTTCTGATGATCGATATCCAAGACTGACAAGGGAAATCGGGCGTGTCGTAGCTTGTGTAGTTAGTGTTTTTCTTTAATTTTTTTGTTTTTGTTCTCTTTCTTTCTTCCTTTTGAATATTCACTTATTTTAGCACTCGGACTCGCGAAAACGAGTAACGAGCGGTTTCTCACACTATTTTATGTCCAAAGCCATTGGCAGCTTGACCACTGGTTATCGAGCGGTACTGCGCTACTCAAAGCTCTGACTGAGCACACTTAATAATGGTATGTACGGTTCAGGGGCGCTGAGACCTCTATTGTAAGTCGTAGGTCGAAATGAGAGGTTTTAAGAACTTTTCAATTAATTTTGTCCAGGATTGTTAATTGCGAGCAATCCATTTTTCCTGCCTTAGTCATTACCTTGATTCGAATCAGCTTCTGACTCGAACAATGGGCTAAGCTTAAGGAGAGAGAATACATGTTCGTGATGTGCTTGCCAGAGACACGTATTGGCTCGGAAACAGAACCAAAATACTATCACAAGTAATTAACATGCATGAGCAAGTGAACCTTTAATTTCTCTAAGAATATACTAGTTTTAAAGATAGATATGGACTACATCAGCTCAGTTTGCAACTATTTAAATAACCTACAGCTTTTAAAACGTTTTTCATCCCCGAGTTTGAAAAAAAAAAAAACCACTAGCATGCTGAATATGAAAAAAAAATTCTTATTTTCAGTCGTTATCATCGAGAGTTATCACTGAAATTATCTGGCATCATTGTTTCCTGTAAGAAGAGCAAGAAAGCAAAGTGAAAATAATTATTAGCAAAAAACGTACATAACTAACTTCACTAGCCACTACCAAGTAATTTTGGCTTAGTATCATTTTACAAGGTAGAGCCCTTGTAAAATTGGTAGAGCCCTTTCCCTTTTTATATCGTTTTTAGATAGTCTAAGATAATCTCGTACC